GCTCAAAAAGCACGTGTTGGCACATTTTTTGTCCAAGTTCTGTTGATTACCTTTGATCGTGAAATCTGTTAATAACTTCCTTTGAAGCAGACCGACCTTGCTTTGTGAACTCTGACGGCATCGCGGAGGTGAAAAACACCTGGTTAACTTCCCACTCTTATTCTGTTACAACACTTAAGTATGCGTGACGTGATAAGGGTCGAAGTTGCGTGAGCTTACTAGAACCTCCTGCGATATCCGCGACTTTATGAACCAGACAATTGAACACCAACGGAAAAGATGAAACTGACACTGAACATGGGTTTATCATCAAAGTCGAAAAGTGTGTTGTAGTTTGGAGTTAACATTATAATGACAGTTCATTCTCCAGCGTTACTTATATTATGCTGCCAACGCGCTCGGTTTCGCCTCCAGATAGGATCCCAGGGCTCATGGTTGACAAAGTTTGTTTTGAATATATGTCTGTAGTGGTACGTTTCTCGTGCCAAAGATTACAAAAAATTAGAGAGAGACTGGAACAGACTTGACGTGGGAGGACAGCATATCCAAGCTCCACCAAGTTGCCGATAGAAGCGAACAGGCGAGTTCCAGGGAGCGGTTCAGAAAAGGAAGAAAAGATAATTACTGCTTCCTGGAACTCGTCTGTTCGCTTCTATCGGCAATCTTTTTGGGCGCGATGCGCCTAGACGATGGGCAGCATTAGCCCTTCGAAAGTCGTCTACATATGCGCAGATTCGGTTTCTGCACATGTGTTGCCGAATTGCGTCTCACACAAACCCCCGGCTTACACAGAGCTGGCGAGACGTGCAGTATTCCAACCTGGTAGACGAATGATCCGAGTGCTCCTTCAAGACCGTCATTCACGGATTCGCAAATACCGTCAGAAGATTGACCACGAGCAAGCAAGGTGCTGTGGGTTCATGGGTGAGGACAGCACAAAATTGCCTCAACAGAGGGTGGACGGACGAACCCGCGAACATAGAGCGACACGCAAAGCAGCACTAGAGAACAAATTCCGTAAGCTGCTGCTCCAACGTCATCCAAGAGCAACAAACTGGTGCACAACCTGTCGTCAAATGAGCGGACGGAAGAACAAGGGCATGTGGTACGATATGGCGCCTCAGTTAACACAGCCGATGCCAAACCTGCCAACATGATTGTGACATTGGAGTTAATCCTCAACCAGACGGAAGCCACAGAGGAAACGAAGAACCTTATTCGACACCAAATCGTCTTCTCTCATTATAGTTCATAGGCCACCCAACGTGCTTTCTAAGGTCGAACGTGACGCACAAAAGGACTCAGGGCTGACAACGATCTTGCTATCATGCCCGTGGACAGGGGGCTTTCCACGGTCGTATTGGACAGGACAGACTACAGTCAAAAAGTCAAAAGCTTGTTGGAGGATCGTCAGCCCAATGTCCAATGCGAATCGAACCCCATAAAGACGCTGACACGAAAGATCAACGCGACCTTTTTGACAATGGAGAACTGAGGCACAACCTCACCGATCGACCGACGTGTGGCTGGAACTCATGAAACGGTACTGGACCGATTCAACGGTCTCCCAAAAGTCCACAAAGAGGGCGCTCCTCTATGGCCAATTGTATCACTAATGAACACTCCAAACTACGGACTGGCAAAGTGGCTGTTCCGACGTCTCATATTTCTGACCTCCGATTCGAACGCCAGAGGTGGCTGGTCAAAACAATTCTTGAAGAAACTTAAAGGGGTAAGTCTCCCGCCAATCGACGTCATGGTATCCTTTAACGTCACGTCCCTTTTACGTCTATTCAGCAGGACTTGGAAGTCGATACCATCGAACTACTCCTACGAGATAAATACGACGAAACGAAGAATCACCACGGACACACCAAAATAATCCAAATCCTGAAGTTCTGTCTCAAGGCATACTTCACGTTTGACGGAACAATCGACCAGAAAGTGAAGGCTGCGCCAATGGGTTCGCCGACTTCAGGACTCATAGCCGAGGCGGTCCTACAACAGTTGGAGTGGTTGAATTTCCGACACTACAGACCGAAATTTGGGGCTCGGTATGTGGATGACACCTTCGTCGTCATCGAACGGGATCAGATGCTGACATTCAAGGAAAGTCTGAATACGGTCTTCCCGGACATTCCGTTTACGGTGGAGGAGGAAGAAAACAATCAGCTGACCTTTCTGGATGTCTTCGTTTGCCGCAAAGATTGTGGCGGGCTAAATACCAAAGTGTTCAGGGAAGTGACAAACACAACGAAGGTACTAAATTTCAATAGTAACCACCCGATCAGTCACAAGCACATTTGCGTGAGGGCGCTATACCGGCGCGATGAGACGCCACGCTGTGAAACGGAAGATGAGGCTGTTAAATAACAATTTATTCGACGGTTACTGAGGGCCAATGGCTATCCGCGCAACTTTGTCAACCAGTGCATATGCAAACGAAACCAAATCCAGCCGGCCCTAAATTTTGGCAGGCTCTTTCGTACTTGGTGGACGTCTCTTCGGAACAAATTCCGAAGAAGTGACAAACTAGTGTACAGCCTGTCGTCAAAGGAGCTGACGAAGGATCAGATGCTGGTGTTACTACACGAAGCTTCATTCAACACGGCTGATGCCAAACTCGTTAACATGATTGCAGCAGTGGAATCAATCCTTTGTCAGACGGAGACAACGGAGGAGACTAAGAGTCTCATCCGACATCAAGTGTCGTCTCTCCTGATGGTCCACAGGCCGCGAGAAGTGCTTCCCAAGGTCGAACGTGATGCGCCTAGGGAACTGAAGGCCGACAAGGACCAAGTCATCGTGCCAGCTGCCAAGAGGCGCTCCAGGGTTGTACTGAACAGGACAAACTACCTTAAAAAGTCAAAGGTTTACTGGATGACCGACAGTTCTATGTCCCATGTGCAACGAACCCTATAAAAACGCTGGCACGCGAAAATAAAGCTAAATTGTTAGCCCTGGAGAACTCAGGTGCAATAACACCGATCGACATACGCATGGCGAGAGCCCAAGATACGGCTTTGGCCCGATTCTATGGTCTCACTAAGGTGCGCAGAGAGGGCGCTGTTCTCCAACCCATTGTGTCGCTCAAATGCACTCCAACGTACGGACTGGCTAAGTGGCTGTTCCTGCGTCTCAAGTTCCTGAGCACCAAGTCAGACACCACGGTCTCTTCATCAGCACAATTTCCGAAGAAACTCGAAGGGGTAAGCCTCTATCCAAATGAGGTCATGGTATCCTTTGATGTTACGCCCCTTTTCACTTCTATTCCCCAGGACCTGGCGATCGAGACAATCGAGCTGCTACTACAAAGCAAATACGATGAAACGGAGAATCGTTTTTGACACGCCCAAGTCATTCAGCTCCTGAAATTCTGTCTCAGGACGTACTTCACGTTCGACGGGACGATCTACGAAAAGGTGAAGGGTACGTCAATGGGTTAGCCGATTTCGGGTTCCATCGCCAAGGCGGCCCTGAAATGGTTAGAGTCGCTGGTCTGCCAACACCACAGACCGAAGTTCTGGGTCCCGTATGTGGATGATACCTTCGTCGTCATCGAAAACGATCAACTGCTGACATTCAAAGAACACTTGAATGTGGTCTTCCCGGACATGCGATTTATGATGGAGGAGCTGGCCTTCCTGGATGTCCTCCTATGTCTCAAAGATTGTGGTGGCCTAAAGATCAAAATGTTCAGGAAAGCAACAAATACGACGCAAGTACTGAGCTTCCGCGGCAACCATCCAATCAGCCACAAACGCAGTTGTGTAAGAACGCTCTATCGGTATGTCGAAACGCACTACAGTGAGCCCAAAAAACAAGATTGCCGAAATACAATAGCCTCGACGGGTCTTGAAAGCCAATGGTTACCCGCACAGCTTTGTCAACTGGTACATACGGGAAAGGGACGAAAGGCCTAACCGCGCGGACCCCACATTTTGGCGAGCGCTTCCGTATGTCAAGAACGTTTCGAAGGCTGTCGGCCGTCTGCTCGCGCCACTTGTGGTTTGAGTTGCACACAGACCGGAAGCAACCACCAGGCGTCAGGTAATGAAACCGAAAGACCCGCTGCCACAGCAAGAATCTTCTGGAGTCGTTTATCGCATCTGCTGCAGTTGCGGACAAAGCAACTACGTCGGTGAAACCGGAAGACAGTTCAAAACGCGGATGGCTGAACACGCTGCAGCGGTGCGGAAGAATGACACCAGCTCTCAAGTTGCGGCTCATTTGACGAGATCCGGCCACATATTCAAATTCGACGAGGCCGAAATTCTCGCGAGTGATGACAAACGCGTGAGCTGCGAGCTGCTAGAGTCATGGTTCAGTGCCCCCCAGTCCATTAACTAGTACAACGGCCTCCTCTTCCATACTCTGTTCTGAGACTTCGCCTAGGCGGAGTGATTAGCCACGCGTGGAGTGCACAGGTGAACGCTGTTCCAACGCCAGGATCGTTGGGTCAGCTGATCGAGCAATCATCACATCAACATCTCACGCACATGATGAAATTGCAGCAATTAACGACGCGAATGTCGGCCATCAAGCAGTCAGCACACCAAGCGCAACAATCCATGATGAAGGGGGGAGCCGTGAATATTCATAGGTACGCGGTAGCATGACGACTGCATCCTATAAATACTGCAGCCCTTTGTGCATGAACCGCCCGTATCTGCTTTTGTCTCTGAAGATGGGTTCGAGCAGGAATCGCAAACGTCTTGTCCCAGAGATCGTGTCTCCCTCTTCACGACTGCTTCCTGGGACTCGTCTCTTCGCTTCTACTGACGGCAGTATTCGTCTGGAGTCTCTAACCGGATCTTGTGGAGTTGCGAACGGAGTGACTACGTCGGAGAAACTGGGAGATTACTCCGGACGCATATAGTTGTGCTCACAACAGCGGTGAGGAGGAAAGACGCCAGCTCTCAGGTTGCGGTTCGTTCTACGGAACCCGTCCGGGATGAAGAAATTTTTTCGATGCTCGACCAGTCCTCTTCTTCCTTACTCACACATACACCTGGAACTCAAACATTCGCCGATATAACTGATAAGTTTGACGATTGGGGTTTTTCGCGGCACCATCAGTTTCGGACCTGCCCAAAATCTTACCGAACGGTTGTGCTTGTCATCGTGGAAGGGTTGGAATAAAGAGGCTTACGGATAAAAGGCTCACGCAGACGGCCGCACGACGGAATAACGTTGCGGACAAAGACAGGAGAGACTAGAACTGCCACTTCTGGCCTATTAACCGTCGTCAGCCAGCCGTACCCAACCCCGGAGTGTGAAACACTCAAGGCTTGAACTCGCAACCTTTTGGTTGGAAGTCCAACGTCCCTAAACACTGAGCCACGGGCTCGTTGTCCTGTTGGTTGCGATCGGGTATATGCATTCAGTGGTAGGAGGGCGCTGACCGACCGTATTACGGAACCCACTCGTAGCATGAGGACTAGAAGACAATAATTAAGACTTTTATTCAACAAGGGCAGGGACATCGAACTGGCCATTTCTAGATCATGAGCCGTCACCACTTCTTGACACCTAATTCCAGGTGCCGGTACACCCAACGTCTCAACCCGAATCAGCTGATCATCGAGCAAGGCTTTAGTCGGTTGAGACCGAGAATATACATCTCGCTACTAAGGCAGGCCGGTGACGTCACTCCTACATGATCGGACATTCCGGATCTTAACCGAGATGGCACGGGCCCGCATCTCTGTGGCGAGGAACTTGCACAACGGCCAACCGGTGTGAATTCAAATCTCGGATGCACAAGCACCCGGGTCCAGATTTCCCCAGCCGATGACTACTAACAGGCTAGCAATGTTCACTGAGGCGTCTCTGTCCTTGTGGGTACTACACTCCTCGGAAACTGTAAAGAAAATACCAGCGTTTTTACGTGCTACGTTGGCTCAGTGACCATTTCACTGCCAAAGACTGTTGTTCTCCACTAATAAAAGTTGACTTTTGTCCCGTTGTCCATCTGCTGACTGCCCCTACCTTCGAATCGCACAGAGTGGGGTGAAAATCCGAGTCCAAAGCAGAGAGATGCAAAGCCAAGCATGAACCGATCGACTCTCTGGGCTGTGCCGAGAACCCTATTGATCGGCACGTCGACCGCTCGCCTGCACACACTGCTCTCTCCAGACCAGCCAGAGAAGTGCCGCGTCATGTTGTGGGAATGGACTCCTGTACGGACCCAAAGTTCAAATAAGCAGACTTATGGTTCCGCCGCCCTGACTGACGAGTATACCCCCGAGTGCTCAAGCTGGAAAAGAATTTGCCTGTGGAGAGCAATTTTACAAGTCATCCTAGGCTGCCACACACAACTCGGCGCACTTGAAAACAGTACAGACCAGTGCCGAACTTGTGCACATGAAAAGACGGGTAAAATCAAAGCGCAGCTTCTGCCTACAAAGACACCAGCAGCGTTGCCGCCAGGCATTCGTATTTTCACCACATAAAGCGCGTTAGATTTCGGCTATGATAACAGACCCGGTGGACTAGATGCAACTGCATGCGGCCGCGTGTGAGTGTGGGGGCTAAACTTCTAGTTTACCCTCCTCCCCCCTCCCAGTGTGGGCGTGATAGCGGTTCCTAATAGCCGGAGGGCGGGGGGGGGTATAAACGAGTACACATGACGAGGTAGTCAGTCTATTTACACTTGGCTGAAGACAAGGGGTGATAAATTTCGAAGTATATATATATATATATACGCGTGTTTGTGTACACATAAAAAGAGGGGTAGAAGAAACGGCGCAAAAGAACTGGAATACTCGATGACACTCACACAGGGGAGCGCGCGCAGGCACACATGAACATACAAAGCCTAGGAACAAGTACGGGGGGGGGCTGAGCCAGTACGATAATCCTCAGAGTGTGGATCAGCGCGGCGGAGCGTGTAGAAGCACGGCTGCCGTGTTGTACAGATGTCGAGACAGAAAAAAAAAAACA